TTATAACCTAGTTACGATGTCAATTGTATTACAAAATAAAAATGAATAATTGGTACCACACTTGTTTCCACTTCACTTCGTGCGGTGATATGAAAAATGCAGTTTGTTGTGACTAGATTTGCTTGAGGTGTGGCTCTGTCTTTAGCGGATTTCACTTCACTGTACTGTTTCTTTAGTTTAATTATATATAAATACATCCCTTGTTTATTAAAAAAAAAAAGTCAGTTTTAATAGAGGTGAAATAGTAGTATTTTACACTAGCGTGCGCATTTTGTTCAATTGATAACCTAATTTTGTTGACAATTTAAGCGAAATTAGAACATACTACATGGTTTGTTTGCCAAATATTTTTGGATTGCATAAACGGATATTAATTAATTAATTATTTTTAAAATACTCGTAATTATGAATTCGGATTTGGTGTTCCAAACATAATCTCATCGTTAACTGCAGACGCCTTAAAGACGGATAATTAAGACATTGAGCTATGCAAAATTTCCGAGACTTGAAATGAAAGTGACGTGAACTTGTGGCTTATTTATTGGCGCTGATTAATTATTTTAAATCGTGGGGTGGACTATTTGTTTTATAAATTTGAATTTTGAAGTACACTTCAAAATATTGTTGCTTAATTATTTACTAGCTTGCATCATATACATACATACATATAATAATAGTTTTATCATATATGTATATAGAAATGTCTAGTTGTAGAATTTAAAAATGTTAGCATGAATATATGTTTGCGTTGACCCAAAAATAGAACGGGGTGTGGATGAGTTGGGGATAGGGTTTGTGTTGATGTTGAACGTGTAACCCACAAACAATAATAAAAATAAATATATGAACTAATTAATTAATAAATCTTTGATATATAATCTTCTCTGCGATCTCTTCTCTATAAATATCCGTGTCTTCTCCAACTCATAACCTCATAAGAGGAAACAAAAAGAATGGTTTGGGAGGTCGCTATTATTTGTGGTTTTGTATTGTGCTTAGTTTCGTGCTTCTGTCTAATGCTCGACCCCCTCTTTTCTTCTCTCATCGTGAGTACTTTCTTTCTTTTCTACTTCTAATTAAACTTAACTGTCTCGCTAATGATATTGATGAAGTTCTGGTTTTATAGTTTTTTTGGTTTAATTGGGCTAAACCATGCTCATCAGATGCTTCTATTTTTCTTCCTAGCTAGCTCCCCTTAATTTTCTTCAGATCAGTATTGATCAGTTCTTTAATTAGTCATTAATGGTTACTTTTTCTCTTAATAATTTAGCTAGATCGTGAAATTTAATCATTTGAGTTTTTGATTCAGTCATTTACACACTTTAGTTTAGGCAAAACCATGCTCAGATATGATCAGACATGTTTTCTGATTTGTAATTTATAATTTCTTCTCTTAATCAATGTAGGTTACAACTCTTGTGTTAAAAATTATCAAGAGAACTTTTTTAAATTTATTTTGGTAAAAAAAACTGTTTTAAATTTATATACATGATATATCTAGACATTCATTATTCATTAAGTCATTATTAACAAGTCATTATACATTAAGTAAAGTAGAAAATGGATCATCTGAGCCACTCAAATTTAGATTTCGGTTTTAAAATTATCTTAGATATACGCAAAAGAATTCGTTAAGAAGAGAATTGTCAAGTTGTTCATTTTGTTTCAAGGAAAGGAACGAAATCCTAAATATGTACGTTTGGTTTACTAATTTGTGCTTGAATCCAATCCATTTGTCAAGTTCAATGTATGTTTGTTTCCCAAGTGACAAATTCTTTTGGCTTTTAAAATGTCCAATACATTCTGTGATACATGGGTTTTAATGTTCAATATATAATATATTTGTTCTTACTTCTCTCAAAATCTTGAACATTGAGCTTACACTAACCTTCTCACATTCCAACAAACTAATTATAATCATTTCAACTCATTCCAGTTAAAAAAATCACATTAATTACCATTACTATGTTGTATAATATTCCCATACTCTATGCTCATTAATTAATATCAATAGTTAATAGTATTAATCATTTCACGTGAATCCGTGAAGACGAATTATATTTCTTTACCCCTAAAAAAAAAATGATATTCTCATAGTCTCATTCGTTGCATATATCCATAGTTTATGTTCATTGATAGTATTCATCATCTTACATGAATCTGTGAAGACGAAATGTATTTCTTAATTTATTATTGAATAAAATGATATTCTCATAATCCCATTCTTGCATCACATTGACTAAGAATATATATTTCTCCTCATGTGAATGCATGCAAATTAAAATAAGGAAAGATATCTTACCATGGATATTACAGATACGCAAATTAAATATATTTACTGGAATAATTATAATGGTTGGTAAATGATATTTACAGATGATAAATCACAGATGAATGTGGTAGGAAGGTCCTTGAAAATTAGCCTCGACGACTACGGAGAAACAAGGGCAAATCCTGGACATGATCCTTCAAGATTCACACCTACGACTGCTAAACGTCGAGGCAGAAAAGGTTTATGAGTCTATATATTAATTGGATCTAGATTTTGTCAAGTGAAAAAATCTGTATAACTGCTTTTGTTAAATATGAGAGATAGAAACAAGAGATTAGGAAGAGGATGAAATTAGAGAATGTGAATCTCATGCATATTCTCACACTTATCGTCGTCTCTGTGTGTGTGTGTTTAAAAAACAGCTATTAATTATATTCCAGATTATCAAGATAGAGTGCTATATATATATATATTGTCTTAAATATTTGAGAGGGAGAATAACGAGAGGGGCGAAAAATAATGATACAAGTTTAGTCACATGTTGGCTTTCACAGTTGTAAGAAACTAGGGAGCTCGTGAACGTAACATGCGAAGGCCAAGACAGAAAATTTTAGTATTTTACTGCTACTACGTACTACTACCCATGAACAATCTTGAATGTCACGTACACCCCAATAGCCTAACAACCATATATTGATCTTGAATAGGTCAAAAGTTCTATTATGACTGGGTCTGGTGCACGCGCATGTATGTGTGGGATACCTTGACAAAGAAAGCACACAATGTTAACCATTTCCTTGCTGGACACAGAGAAACCGCATGGTTTTATATTTTTTCTTAAATTGGTAGCATTCAAACACACATTATTCAGAATTGTCCAACAAATCTCACTGTTGGTTGACAGGACAACACTCACCACAACCATTATTCAGAGAGTATACAGAATCAAAAATAGTTATGTCATGGTTTGCTCACCTTGTAGCTTTAATTTCCTTTCAGATTGAAACTTACTCCTTTAAACCAAACAGTCCAGTTTTTTTAAAATCAGAATAGCTTGAAAAGCGAGGACTTTGAGGTTTTCTGACTTCCCAGCCAATGTTGCATGTGGACTCCAATTGCATCCAAGTACAAGCTACTCTTCCCATGGAAGCCCACCACTTTCCCTTCTGTTGTAGTTGAAGTGAAAAACATCCCTACTTCCTCACCATAAGGTCCATACTTTCCTCTGCTTGTAAAGAAAGTCAGTGACTTTATCACTACTTGTCTCTCATTTTTAGCGATTGGTCCATAATACCCAGATACGCAAGTCAGCACCTCATGTGGATACTCCAATTTTATCTGAATTAACAGCAATTAACAATGATTGAATATAAGAGAAGATAGAGCATGGGCGAACTAAATAAATCTAGTATCTTGGTGTGTGTGTGTGTGTGTGTGTGTGTGTGTGTGTGTACCCGGTGCATTGTTTCTCCTCCATTACTTCCATGCTTCACAGACCAAACAGATTGACCATTTCGATCATACTCAATTTGAATTGAGCAAACGGCTTCTGATACCCTTGTCAAGTAAATCTGCTTGATCCCAGAGAAGACACCATCATCCCAAGGTCTGCCTCCATCCCCTCCCCATGGACCTGGTCCACAAGGAGCTGGTTCTTTTATAACACCATAAGAAACCTATACAAGAGAGGGAAAAGAACCATTTAATACTTAATGAGACATTTAGAAAGTACCTGGCCTGAAGTGTTCGTCTGGTTTTGTATGGAATATACCTCTTCCAATGGTGCTTGTTTAGCAAGTACCAGTTTTCGAGGCAGAGCATTGTCTATTTCAGCAATGCTGGGTTCTCTAGGGACGATTGCATTGCAAGGAGGTGTACCCGATACTGGTGTTACTACTTTCCCTTCAATTACATGCACACCAATAGCATCTAGAAACAAACCTTTTCTCCCATGGATGCCAACTATTTTCCCTTCTTTCATCTTTGTGGTGAAATGGGTTCCTTGTTCATCTCCATACGGTCCATACACCCTCTTGGTGGTGTGGAAAGTGAGTGACCTCATCGTTGCAGGTCCCATGTACATCACAGGTCCATAGTAACCAGTTATGTGCGTCAATACTTCAGATGGAAAATCCAAGACTATCTGCAAAATCACACTCAAATTGCTCGTAAACCAAATCTAATCGATATTGCCACAGATTGATGATTATAAGTAACAATAACGTTTTGCTAGCTCTCAAATTCACCTTGTCAGTTTTAAACCCTCCTGTCCCACCTTGTTTATTTCCCCATATGGCTTCCCCGTCTTGATCATACAAAATTCTTATCCACACGATCCCAACATTGCGTGATAAGTTAATTTGTCTAACTCCGGTGTAGGCTCCATCATCGAAGATGCTTCCACCATTACCACCCCAAGGTCCATATGTCACCACGCCTTCAACCTTTGAAGGTACCTTATCCGCACGAGCAATCTGAAATGAACAATTTTAGTGAAAAAGAACCATAATTGATATGAAGAACGCAAAATCATACGCTTGGAAGGCTTAATCCATGAAGATTTTCTTACCTTCTCTTTACGGTCTTTAACGGTGTCAGGTACCTTTTCTTTGTGATCTTTAATAGTGTTGAGTACCCTCTCTTTGTGATCTTTAATGGTGTCAGGTACCTTCTCTTTGTTATATTTAACGGTGATTGGTACCTTCTCTTTGTGATGTTTGATGGGTTCAGGTTCGTTTATTTCAGTAATCTTAGGAGGGGTAGGGAAACTGTTTGGAATAGGTTTACCAAAACCATCCTTCTGCCTTACAGCAAGAACAATATCAAAGCTTTCACCCATACTTCCTTGTATCACAGAGTAGCCAACTTGTTCATTGGTGTTGGACAAGTAGTTCTGTGAATGAAGTAAAGCGTTTGATGGGTTTTGCTGCTGCAAAGGTTTCAGATACACTCCAATGGCATCTAGATACCAACCACACCTGCCATGGAACCCAACAATCTTTCCTCCAGCCATAGGGAATGAAAAATATGTCCCTTCTTCAACCCCAAATGGTCCATACTTCTTCTTGTTACTTTCAAAACTCAGTGACCTAACAAAGGTTGTCCCCCATTGGTTTAAGCTGCCATAGTATCCATGAATTGATGTTAGGTACTCATCAGGATAGTCAAGCTTGACCTGCAACTCAATCGTGCCATGTAATCACAATGGTGCACAAGTTCAGTGAGCAGGTAATAAGCAAAATTATACTGACACAGACGCAAGGATCAATGACACAAATATACAGTGTATCTTGTATCCACTACTAGTTCCATACTTCAGAAATTTAAAATCCCATCGACTTCTATATTCACAGTCACATGTATTTCCTAGTTCAGTTTTTGAAGGTTGGGGGAAACAATTACCTTGTCAGTTTTAAGGCCCCCACTTCCACCATGTTTACCCGACCAGATAGAACACCCTTTTTGATCATATTCAATTTGTATGGAGTCAATTCCAGCGCCATGAACAATCACCAATTGCCTGACTGTAGAATATATCCCATCGTCCCAACGGGATCCTCCACTGCCTCCCCATGGCCCAACCGTCACGGGCTTCTTCCCAGAATCCTCAAAACTCTGCAAGTCAAAGCAATCAAACAAATATAAAATGCATGTTAATCAATTTGGGTTAAGACTTAAAGAGTAACACAAACTATAAGGATTGACCATACCATTTTTTTGGCCTATGGGACAAGATTGATAGAAATCTGAGAAAGAAGCGTCGAGTTGAGGGAATTGGGGAAGACGAGAACGGGGATTTATGGCGGCAAAAGGGTGTGATCGAGCCTGGGGATTTCGTTTTAAAATAATGATCATGACGAAAAACTATGTAAAAGAGAAGCTAATTCGGTGTTCCACCATGGATGGAAAGGATTGAAAGGCAGGGAATCGGATGCGCCAATAGAAAAACAATTCAATCGTCAGGAAACATGAAAGATCACCTTGTTTTTCTGAAGGTCACAGAAGAGAAAAAATCCAATGATCTCCTGCCAACAATGTCTGATTCCCATTTTCTGATAAGATTCTTCAAATGGAGGACAGCAATGCAAGAAGCAGAAGCATTGATTATCCTGATTCCAAAAGATAGTGACAATTGCACGGAAGCGGCTTTTCTCCTTCCTCTGTTCCTTTTCCCCCTTCAACGAATCAACGCTGCTTATTTTATTGCTTCTTCCACTTTGGCTTCGTCTCTGAGATGATGATGATTCTGATAAACGAATTTTTGGAGCAGAACTAGAGGCTGATGATTGCCAGACGCCCTCATACTGTGTTGCTCTTGCAGACACAGGGACTAACGTTAGTGACACAGGTTTCTCTAGCAAAATGTTTCTGCTTGTTTGCTCGTTTTCTTGGCGCGTTGTATTAAGATTTTATGTATCATGTTGATTAACTGACAGAGTCCGAACCATTTTTTTCATAAAGGTTATGCTACGAATTTAAGGAGTATATATTTTGATATCATCTTCTTCGCTTCTGGTTAAATTTACATCAATCTCGCTTGAAATAAAAGATTATTACTCCAGACAATATGATTAAAAAAAAATTAACTGATAATGGCATATTTTTCCTAACCTCCAAAATCAATGAGTTTATTATAAGAGTTTTTTTTTTTTTTTTGGGTAAGTGCAATGAATAAACCACAAGCAGACTCCTAACTAAATTACTTACATACATGAGAAATAGGATCCGGAACCTCAATAATTTGTTTAAACAGTGAGAACCGTAATCACGTATGTTGATTTTACATCCTTTAGGAATGCATATCAAAGTATATGACTTTGTTCATGTCATTATAATTTTTAGATTACCTTAATGAGGCATGTAATCTAACTAACAATAATATTGAAAAAAAAAAAAAGTTGCGCACATCATGTCTTTTCAAGTGAATTAATCTTTTGCTCTTTTTTTTTTTTGAGAGAATCTCAATAAAGAAGCAGGGAAGAAATTAACTTCATAAAGGGACCATTATATTATAAAATTTATTTGCGAGATTTCTAGATTGAACTGAAAATAATGTTGGAAGGAAAATGACTTGATTATCCGTAACTTAAAAAGAAAAAGAAACTTCTACAGAAGACATTCCCCCACTCAATCTAACCCAACTTCACACACTACCAATGAACTTCTCAAGTTGCCTCTGTCATCAACCGAAGCTGGTTTGTCTTGTTTTCATCAATCAACTGAACCCTCCCCCACTCCTCCATGTGGTCAATTGAAGGCACCTGTCAATTTCTACTTTTTGGTAGATCATCCCAAAAAAAAAAATGAAAGATGTTGAAGTCCTTGCTCATTTCATGCAGTAAGTCGTACATCGAAGATATAGAGGAGAGAGAGCGAGAGAGATGGACTAGAGAGTGGAGAATAAGAGAGAAGGACTAAGTTTTTGAAAAGAAAAAAAAAAAAAACAGAGAACGTGGGCCATGAATGAATGTGAAGCTGATGTGGGATCATCCGAGTGTTTGTTCCGTCAATCTAAAAATTGGAATAATTCTTAAACTATATTGGACGGTGCGTGGTTGCTTGATGAAGGAAAGAGTTCATGGATGAGAAATTAGAGGCTCGTTTATTTCTATTTTTAAAAACTGTTTTTTTATTTTTTAAAATAGAAGAATTTAAAAATTTGTTTGGTTAAGTGTTTTTGATTTAATTATTTCTAAGACTTTTTTTTATTTTAAAAACAAAAAAAAACAAAATGAATTGTTTTCATTTTGCTTTTTTTAAATACACTAATATTTAATTATTAAAAATTACAGTTATCTTGATTAATTTTTATTATAAATTATCACTGTTGACCATCTATAACTATTACTATCAATCTATTTTTTAATTTTAAAACTATTTTTAAATTAACATAATCAAACGCATTTTTATTTTATTTTGTTTTGGAAATAATTTTAAAAATTGTATTACAAAACAGTTTTTAAAGATAAAAAAATGAAAACGAAAACCAAATAGGCCCTGAAATGGTAGAAGATGAAATGTTCTGTGAAGTCATACAATGAACCTATTTTCATCAAATTAATGTAAATCTCCTTAACTTTTAAATTTTCTTATGTTGCTTGCTAGGATTCAAATATTATGCCGTGTTTATCTTATATAAAATAATCCATGACAGCCAATGGCTTGTGCCACAAGTGACACCACTCCCACTCTGCTGTACGCACGGTGTGGCCTGCATGGGTTTGAGCCCAGAGTGGCTCCGTGTGTGTGCGAGTTTCCTTCCATGGGAAAGGAATTGGCCCAAAAAAAATCATTCATGATGTGTTAAATTATTAAAGTTTTTTATAAAATGTCTAATGTTACTTATAAACTGTTTTATGTTGCTTGTCAAGTTTACAAACTTTTTAAATACTTAATTTATGTAAATTTATACATGACTTGTTAGATAGCTAACTATAATCTTATAAAGTTTGATAATGTACTTGCTTTTAAATTAATGTAAATTTTCTTAATTTTACTTGTAACTTGTGAAACTTCATTTGTAAATTTCCTTACGTTACTTGTTGAGATTGAAATATCACTTTTGTAATACTCATTTTGTCTAAAATTATTATTGATTTGTTAAACTACTAACATCACTCATAACTTCAAATATTATTTGCAAATTACCTTACATTATATTGTTTATCAAGTCTATAATGTTACTTGCAAATATAACTTCTCTCATATACTATTTATTTTTTTAAACATGAAGGATAATAATGTAATCTTGCTATGAAATTTAATTGCATGTTAGTCTTCAAAATCTGCAATGTTATTTTAGAAATATTCTGTTATGATTGGAAAATATGTACCTCCCGTGTAGTGACGGACCCACAAAAAATTTAGCAATGGTGGCATATTTATGCCAAATATAAATATTAATACTTTAAAATATATATATATATATATAATTCTAAATATTAATTAAATAATATATAAATAAATTATTTAAGAAGTTTAAAATATATCTTAACTTCATTGATATCATAAAATTATTTTTATACTAAATACAAGAATAAACAATATTTTTAAAAATGTGTGCTTGGTAATTTAAAAACAACGTGGGACAATTATTTTTTTCATGAGGGCAACTACAATTTTAAAGTGGGAAGCAAGTGTAATTTTTACAAATTTCATGGGAACATTGCCCCCTCTTCCCATAATGTGCTGCGTCCCTCCCGTGGTTCTAGAATGAAATTCTTTTTTTGATTTTTTTAAAAATATTATTTTATTAAAAATAATTCTGTTTAAAACACTGTCAAGTTTTAAATAACAATTTTTTAATAAAACTTTAAATCTTAATTCGCGAATGACTCCTCCTCCATATCCAACATTCTTGGCATCTTTTGCTGGCTTTGCAGGCATTAAAGGCGTGTCTTTATTTCGGTTTTTGTGTGGAGGTCAGTGTCTGCATTGTTGGGCCTTGTCCTAATTCTGATCCATTTTGTGTTTGTTTTTTGCTTTACATTTAGTTTAGATGGTAAAACCCGAAGACCCAAAAAAAAAAAGAAAATGGGCTAGACAGTGAAGCAGTAGGAACCACCCTTTCTATGCATGAATTACAAAGACAGTATCCATAATCACAGCATCATTAACTAATTAATATTATTATTATAAAATGAGAGCAGGGTGGGAAATTAAAGTATAACTAGCTTGACCAATAAATGTTGGTACAGTAATTAAAAGATTTGGCTTATAATTGGTAAGATCATGAGATTAAATTTCACTATCAATATAAAGATTTTATTGGTGGGCAATATGTAAAAAGTTTTATAAACATTCTTTAAATCTAGAACATGTTTGTGTTTGGTGAGCTCTTGGGATCTAACTTAGTATGACAAGCTTAGCTACTAGGCAGAAGCAACGTTAACGACATAGTATACTAATTAACACGCACACTACTGACACGTTTGCCACTGTTACATTTTTAAAGGGGTCCCAGGCTATGCCCGCGGCCATTCTGCTTTTCGCATTTTGAACGTGTAAATATCTGCTGACACCAATTTTTCAGCCCAGAACTGAAACTGCTAGACTGGGTCTTTGCAGACCTTTTATAAAGAACCATTGGACAAGCCCAAAACTATCCGGATCTACAAATATATATATATATATATATATATATAAAATATTATCTGAATATTGGTTTTGATTTAGATATTTATATTGATTCAGATTTATGCAGTTTTATTCAAAAAGAGAGTTTTAATTCATAAACAAGATAAATCTTGGGGAATTGAGCTCGGTCATGTTAAATAACATTTCAATGACATTCCCAATATACCCATGAGACTGCTGCCAGTAATAAAGGTTCCACATGGTGGGAGAGGGGTTTAAGTTAGTTTAAATGAGGTGATAATATCTCAAATTTATTGGGATTAGCATACCAAATAATAGAATAATATATATATATATATATATATATATAAGCACTTTCTCAGCATTAATGAATTTATGGTAGCATTTGAGTATAATTTTTTTCCTGAAGAAAATGCATGCCCCAACTAGCGAACAACTTTTTATTTAGGGGTTGGCTTCCTCCATTTAGTTTTTTCTCCACTGCACACTCTAACTGTTGGGTTAAAAATTTAACCGTTTAAATTTAATTTGAAAAAAAATAAAAAATTACTCCAATTCTGCGCTTTTCAGATTACATTTTATCATTTTAAATTTATTTATTCACTATACTTTTACATTTTGATAATAACTTTTGTAAAATATTAAATCTAACTCATTTGAAATCTAATCTACTAACAAGAATGTGTAATGGAGATGAATTTTGAAAAAAAAAAATGGAGAAAGTCCAAAATCATTTCGTTAATTCTTCATGCTCCCTCTCCCGTATCTTTAGAAATAAAAGTATAGAATTTAATAGTTCTTCAATGTTTGAGACTGATTAACTGTCTTTCCTGTAGAAGAGAAAGAGTTCATGTTAAAAATCACAATATAAAGCCATATGAGGTTTTTAATTAAAATAAAAAAGGACTGTCTACAGGAAATTTAACAATTACTATATCAATCAATTGCAGTCAAAATTTAAAACTAAAAAGAAGAACGATAGACAGGTTTCAAAAAAAAAAAAATTAATTCTATACAAGTCCCGAGACATTTTTAAATACGAATGAAGTCCCAGAAATCATTAGGCGATCATCTCCTAAAACAAAGAAATGACATAAATATTCTATACAAAATATTTGCCAAGATCAACCACGATAAACTCACCAGTCACCAGTTCAATGCTTGTGTTGTGCCTTTATGGAGAGAACAACAGTGACGAAGAACTGTAGCAACATATGGTTCACACACCAAAGAATGTTGAGAGGAGTGGAGAGTTTGGCAACCTCAACTTGT